TGTGGTCTAAAGTTTAAGGCATACAATATAAGACCATGACAAAGAATGACATCTTAAAATCTACAATATTTTCACGATCATTACTCTGTGGTCTAAAGTTTAAGGCATACAATATAAGACCATGACAAAGAATGACATCTTAAAATCTACAATATTTTCACGATCATTACTCTGGACACAAATAGTACACAGCCCTCAGCATTTGGCTGTTAAAAGAGTATGGAAGTGTTAGGTAGCAGATATATATATATATATATATATATATATATAATAGAGAGAGAGAGAGAGAGAGGGAGGTTCAGGCGAAAACCCCCAAAAAAATGAAAAACTAAAGAACACCCTGGTAACCGTTCATTTAGACTGTATGCACATGTCCATACAAGCAATAGAAGTTGTTTCTTGGTTTTTATCCACGTGTGCATGTTATGCACATATGCATACCGTCCGGATAAACGGTTACCAGGATGTTCCCTAGTTTTCCACTTTTTTGCAGTTTTCCCGTGAGCCTGACTCTCTCTCTCTCTCTATACACACACACACACATCAAATCAAATCATCAGTTGAAATAAAAACCTCTAAAGCATCCTAGTACATTTGCAAATACCGACCAAGTTTCCTCACAAACTTCCAAAATCTTTCCTATTTTCTGTTAAATTCTGAAAACAAACCTAAATAACAATAATAATAATGATAAAAGTGCACGAACAGAGACCAGAAGTTTGGCTTACCGTGCTGCTTGTTCGTGAAAAAATCTGGCAGGCTGCTTCTGCCTGAGGACATGCAGATCTCCACCTGGGCAATACTCCATAACTAGGCATGATAAGTTCTCGGATACAAAATGAGCATAGAGGGTAGGGAGAAAAGGATGATCCAGAATGCTCAGAATCTCTCTTTCCATATGGGCCCTAGGCATCTTTTGCCTCCTTTCCAAAAACTCGTTGTCCATGATCTTTATGGCAAACGGGCAGTTTGTGCCAATTAGTTCAGCAAGATAAACAGTACCAATATCTCCACAACCAAGCTTCTTCAAGAGATTGAAATGTCTCAATCCAAGAAACCCATCCTGTTTCATCATATGATGAATAGCCTGCCATTTGATGTCCTTTGACATATGAGGCCTATTGCCAATGCTACACCCACTGAGATTTCTCTCTTCACTAATGCTGGTGCTACTACTGTATTCACAGATGCTGCTATTTGAACTTTGAGTGAACTCTCCTTTATCTCCAAATTTTGAGTTCTTGTTATTGTTTAGGAAGGAGACAGTTTTACCATAGCTGGTCGGAATGGAGCCTTCTTTTGGCATAACACTGTTCCTGTTGTTAGAACCGCCTTCAGCAGTGGTACCACTTGTAGAAAGGGGAGATTCAGAGTCTTTATTGGACTCCTCTGTTGCATCCTTTATAGCACAGTGGCATCTTTGGCATATCAATTTGCTTGTATCAGGAGCCAATTTAGCATTCACTGCAATAGATGCATTAGAAGAGACATTAGCTGAAGCGAAATCCTGCTTTGACTTTTTCTTCACAAGGTTCTTGTTCTGAATTACCACCGTCTTGACAGCACGAGGAATGGTTCTTGTTGACTTGCCTAGCTTACTGTTCTTGGTTGAACCAGATGAGGAAGTCACACTCTGTGACTTGCCTTTATGGCGTGACTTAAGGGTTGGCTTACCTGGCATAAGATTATCTTGCTCACAATCGTTTACTAAATTAATTTCAGAATCAACTGCTTTCAAGGAACCGTCAGCCGCAATACGAGAAGGTGGCGAAGGAATTGAAATAATCGTCTTCTCTTGTACTGATTCATTTACCATAAATTGACTCTCGGATTGTGGCTCTTGTAGAATCTCATTCAGCTTTACTGCAGGCCCCACATGCTTTGCTGACTTTTCAATATTCAATTTAGGGGAAGACTGTGCGCTGTTGCTATATGGCTTGACCTTGGGTTCTCGCAGGTACCAAGGAATCCTCCCCGAGGAATTGGACGTGCTGTCTTCAGTCATGAAAGATGTCCCAACTTCAACCACCTTATCTTCAGCAACAGAAGAACCAGATTCACTAGCTTTAACAACAGACTTGTACAAATTGGCCAACTTTCCAGAGTCGGACAGGGCAGGAGATCCAGGAGGCATTGATAACCTTTTAATGGCAGCCATTTCTGAAGCCTGAGAAATGCACAAACCCCTTAAAGCCTGTTTCAGAGACACGGGCTCAGAATATCCAATTCCTGATGTAGACGATGTACTCATCCTCATTGGTTTCTTTGATGGATTTTTCCTTGGTGTGGCTCCACCTGTTTCATCAGAGAAGCTTGAACCATTGAATGAACTTCTCACATTAATCGCCTCAAATAGCTTATTGATGTCATCTTCCAAATATCTACTGCATCCCTGAGGCCTCTTTTCTTTGTCATTTACCCTTGCTTGGAGATAAGGCTTAGAGTAATCACTCAACTTAGGTTCATCTCTCAACTCAACAATCTCATGGGTACCATAGAATGAACCCATCTATTAGGATGTTTCCCCAATGTGACGATTATGTGAGGAGCAAGTACCAGCAGAACTAGAGCACCCTGCGAGCACGTATTAATCCTTCACTGGCTATCGCTTTGAGAATAGCTGAAACGGGTCGTGCAATTACGCCATGGGACCAGAATCCAGGTTTGAGCATATCATTACAATTTTCTAGGCAAAACAGAAGTGGAGTGAGTCCTGCAATGGGACCAATGCACGAGAAAGTCAGCCAGATCACCTCCCATGCCTTCTATCATGATCATTAAAGTATAAAGGATACTAGAACAGCTCACAACCAGAAAAAGAACTCAGATATACACATGAACAAAGAAAATAGTCCTCTTAAAAAGTGTCCTTTTCTCCAATGTCCCCACAACAAGGAGGATACTCTCGCTTAGTTTTAAGGACAATACGATATACTGAAAACAAAATTATTACAGTAAAAATAGTGCATATTTTAAAACTGTTAAGGGAAAATATTTGTTTCTATTCGAAGTCCCTGATCTGTTGGCTGGTCTTTTGCCCAGGTTTCTTTGTGGGCCAAGAACTATATTAGAAAACAGTACATACAGTGTTCTAAAAATTCCCACTGGACCTCTTAAGCGTTAAACACTTGTTCAGTCACTTTGATTGGTTAGGGCTGATTAACTAGCTGCCTAGGAGTCCCCCTTTGATTCATTAGCAATTAATAATTGAATTAATAGTCTCAAAAAATAAAGTGCTGATCAATTGTCTTTTCTCAACTTATGTTCATCAACCAACTTTTCTCAACCTGGAGGCACTTCTCCCGATCTTTTCTAAGTAATTGTATCTATTGGAACAATGAAACCAGTAATAACATGGTAACAAAATTTCAGTTCTCGCATGCCTACATAATCCAAAAAAAATTATATTTTTTATATTTAAATGAACCTCTTATACTTTTTCTAATCCCTGCTGAGACAAAATAGCACAAGAAAGTCACTTGACTGCCTAGCCACACTTGAAGCTTTTTAAAACACTGTACATGTAAACAAGAAAAATGAAGTTTGAATATGTGTCACTGGAGAAGGCGTAAATGACAACAAAAATTACTCCTATGAGGATTGCTATTGGGAGCTTGAGTGTGAAGAGACTGGGTCTCTTCTCACCCTGTCATGTATTTGGGTGAAACAGCATCAACTAATACAATCACAAAGCCTATGCATACCAAACTTTTCTTCAGATTTTACTACAACGCATTAAATATACTCTTTGAAATCGACATTCAGTTACAAAGTTGCAGACACATTTATGGTATAACTTACCTAGTGAGATGTGGAATTTCTGAGGTGGTATCTTTTTAGCTTCGTGCAAATCCAAAAACCCAAATAGTTCATGGGAGAAAAATCAAGTTACATGGGAGCAGGGATCAGTTTTCGAATGAGAAAAAACATCCTAGTCACTATGGACCACTTGCAGATCATTCAACTGTGTGATCTAACATACCCCTAACAATAAGAGAAACCAAAATCACATCAAGAACATGGTTAAAACAATATTTTTCTATGATTCTCTATAAGACTAAAAATAGCTGTAAATACCAAAAAGAGATCTACTAATTTTAAAATTTTCTACTTCACCAGTTCATCCAACACCCTTACCACTTATCAAACAATAACCATACACTAGCCAATTAAGAACTAAACTGAAATCGTGTTTCAGTAACAGCAAATCAAAACCATAAACACAAACACCGAAACGAAAATCAAACAATAAATTTCTAATCAGTGTATATAATGAAACATATTCACACATACAAAATTAAAGCTTTACATAAGATTTTAATAGTTTAAACGGAAAATATAATAAGGAAAAAGGAACATCGGGAATGCAAATGCGGAGATTTCGATGGGAACAAACTTCAACATCTGCCATACAAGTAAGTTTAGAAGTAGAAAAAAAAAACAAATAAAAAAGTGGATCGAGAGTAGTTGAGAACTTACATGAATGTAAAGATGAAGAGATCTAGGGTTTAAGTTAGTTTCCGTAGATTACACTAAGTAGGATGTAGAAATTGGAACCCTAAGTAGGGGCGGTTGGAGTGGCAGAGCATCTTGTGGAGAGAAATGGGAGCAAAGAGAGAGATGGGAGTGAAAGGGCATGTTGTTTGAGAGTGATGTATGTAGGCGTATAACGACAGTCTCCGATTTGGACGATGGCCCCTCTAACATCTCTGTATCAACACTCCGTTGGGTCCCACTTCCTTGAATCCAAATATTTACATGTTTGGTCCTTGTATTATAATACTTATGACATTTTGAACATATTAATTAGACCGATTGTTTGTCATATGAGTGAGTCTCTTATCCTAACTAGGGCTGTAAACGAACCGAACGAACACGAACGGAGGCTTGTTCATGTTCGTTCGTTTAACTTAACCGAATAAACGAACGAACACGAACGGTAAATGAACGAAAATATTTGTGTTCGTGTTCGTTCGTTTAGAAATCAGGTGTGTTCGTGTTCGTTTATGTTCGTTCGTTAACATGTTAACGAACAAACATAAACGAACGAGCTAAACGAACATAAATGAACATAAACGAACGGGTTAAACGAACATAAATAAATATTATTTGAATTCAAAGTAAATAAATAAAAGATTATATATTAAATTTAATATATAAACGAACGTAAACGAACGGTAAATGAACGAACGTTCACGAACATAAATGAACGAACGAGGCTCTTGTTCATGTTCGTTCGTTTAACTAAACGAACAAAAAAAAATTGTTCATGTTCGTTCATTTATTAAATAAACGAACTTCCCGCCGAACGGTTCGCTGAACGTTCGGTTCGTTTGCAGCCCTAATCCTAACCCTGTTATTTTACTCTATATTATCCCCTTTGCACGAGGGGCAATATTGTCATTTTACACTGGAGTTTTTCTCTCGTACCTCATTCTGTAATGAAAATTCGTTCATTTTACACTTTGTTCTTAACAAACCTTGATTAATGGGATGTTTACCCAATTGTTACTCGAGTCAACACTATGATTTATTTTGATGTGTAAGATTTGACCATTCTCATGTTCATCCGATGAGAAAATTTATGCGGTAAGGACTTATCAAGTAAGTGTTTAGTAAACGACCCATAAATTAAGAATATCAGATATGTTCGAGATTCTTTTATGGTACAAATCCGTTAAGAACAAAAACCCCCAGATCTAAAATTGCAAGAGAAACAACGGGAGGTGTTAGGATGAAATCAAACAAACCCTGAATCCAGAGGCTCACGTTACATAACTTGTCTTGTTTAATCGTGACGTTTCTAGGTTAAGAATCAGATCCGTAAATCCACACTACATATATCAAAACAAAATACAAATTGATTTCAGATCATGATGTTTACATGTTTCATATAAGGTTATTAAAGAGAATATAAAATTAATATTTTGTAAAATGTTTATTTAAAAATTTATCGAGATATTAAATACATAAGATATTTTTAATAATAAAATTAATATAAAGATATTTAAAATAAATAAACTATTTAATATTAAATGTAAATTTTATAAAAATTATTATTTTTATTACCAGTTATGTGACTTATATCTATGGTCGCATTTTGATTTACATCCCCACATTGGGCAAAAAAATTCAAACTCTACTCTTATCCCTTCATTTATTTAGTTCAAGTAGACAATATCCCACTGTAATAAATTGAAGGAGTAAATTACGTTTTTTGTCCTTATAGTTTGTTAAAAATTTCAATTTGTCTTTATAGTTTAGAAATTATGATTTTCATCCTTATAAAATGTAGATTACTGTTATTTTTGTCCTTATGATTTATATATTTTTTTCAATCGTGTGGTTTATAATTATTTACTATTTTGGTCTCTTATAATTAAAAATATAAGAATTAGTTCAGGACCGATGAAATTAACAATAAATTACAAATCATATGAATAAAACAATATTTCTAGATCATAGGGATAAAAATAGAAATTTTTAACAAACTATAGGGACTAAAAATGTAGTTTACTCTAATTGGAGGTTTTAAATTAAAATTTGCAGCCTTGTACTAAGTATGATTTTATAAATAAGGCCCCTCTCCTCCAAAATAAGACCAAAGTCCCCTAAAACGTAAATAAATTTGACCATTCACATCCCTTTAATTCATTTAAACTTTCAATTGTGTTATATCAGTTTTTATAGTTATTTTTCATACACCTGTAATTCATCTACAGTTTCAAAAGTAATCCCCAGTACAACTTTTATTATTTTTATTTTAATTTAATGTTAATTAAAATATAAACATTAATTTCAAATAAAAAATTAATATATAATATAATTATGTTATACATATAATTCATTGTTTGATATAAATGATTAATAACTGTGATATATGTAGAATATTTTCATATAAGAATAATTAATGTAATTAATAAATATATTAAGTATTATTAATTTATAAAATTCATTGTTTGATATAAATGATTAATAACTGTGATATATGTAGAATATTTTCATATAAGAATAATTAATGTAATTAATAAATATATTAAGTATTATTAATTTATAAAATTCATTGTTTGATATAAACATTAATTTATTTAAATAATTAAAAAAGAAATTGGATAGGAGGTTGGTAGCCCACATGGTTTTTAATGTCAATTGCAAGTTTTGCAATTGTTTTCCCACATGACAACTACAATTCTGACAAAACTTTATTTGCAATTCCATTTGCAAGACCCATGTGGGTGGTCTTAGTCATAAATATCCAAATAACGTTTTTAAAACAAATTTTACATTTTCAGATAAATGTGAAGATTTCATGATTTTAACTGATGAAATTACAAAGAAAACTTTTTGAAGGTATAAAAATTTAGAAATTTGTACGAATATACGTTGAAAAAAAATCGTAACCTTGTAGTAAGTATCCTTTCGTAAATAAGGCCCCTCCCCTTCGAAATCAAGACCAAGGGCCCCTGAAACGTAAATATATTTGATGACGAGGAAAATCATTTATTGATCATTGGTTATAAATATCTGAATAACGCTTTTAAAACAAATTTAATTTTTTAGATAATTGTGAAGATATGTTATTTCAACCGACGAAATTACGTAGAAAACTTTTTGAAAGGTATAAAAATCCACAAACTTTTACGAAGATACGTTTTTTTTGTATTAAATGTTGTATCATTGGCAGTTGTAAGAGGATAAATCGATCTAGGTAACGTAATTGTTGTTGAATATCGAAGGTCATGATCGTCTTTTAACTAATATCGGGATGTTTTTGTATCGGTTATAAAATGAACAAATTTAGGCATTTAAATTAGTGGTCGTGTTCGTTAAAAGTTGATAAGACATGTGCGATTCAAAAGTAAGACACATGGTATACAAGTTCCAAAGCTTACTCATTAAATCAACTCTATTTGTGGTAATGATTTGAGTCTCTAAATTTATTTGATGCAAGTCCATTATCACATACGACATAGTTAAACGACTTACTTGAGGTTATTTTGAAAATTAAGAGGCCGTTTACTAAACATTTATCTGGTAAGTGCTTATTGGGTAATTTTCTTACCGAAATAACATGACAATGGTCAAAAATCTTACCCGATAAACAATAGTAAATATGAAGAGTTTTACTTTGTAAGTAAGGGTGACGGCTCTTACCCGGGTAAGTGCTTACCGAGTAGATTGTTACATATGATATCATTTTGATGTACTACTATTTTACCTGGTAAAATACGATAAGTGTTTATTTGGTAAACATTTAGATAAACGGCATTTAAATTTGATTAATTAAGGTTTTTAATTGACAATTATAAAATTATGATAAGTTGTTTCCAGGAGGCATTTGAACTCGGAAAAAAATGTTTCCAATATTTCAAAATTTCATGTTGAAAAATGCTATTTTTTTAGCAGTAACTGGTTTACAGCTGATAGTTTATTTTAAATATAACTTAAATTAGTTAAACGAAAATGATTTATCATTGATATATTTGTAAGTGTATAAATAATTGATTGATGAATCTTTTTGCTTTGACTGTGCAATCAAAAAATAATAAAAATATAATAACGTTTTTATTTATCTGATAAGTGTGAATGCATGGTACACCTTACACACACCTTGATCAATTCTATGGAAACATGAAGTAGACAGTAGAATAACGCTTCAAAGTATCTTCAACAGACTCTCTAAAGCAGAAGAAAATGAGATTTTGTATTCTATTTTGTTTCTTCAAACAAATTTCTATTCCCTAAAATATAAAATAAAATAGAAAACTCTAAGGAGGTGTTTGGTTCAGCCAGATAAATGAAAATGGAAATGAATTTTCATTCCCTCAATTTAACCTGAAATCAAATTTTGGGCTTCTAGGTGAATGAGCTCATTATATTATACTAGCTGTGTACCCGCGCAATGCGGCGGGAGTCATGAATTTTAACGATTTTGAAGTTTCACTGATTTTATAAGACAAGATTTAACGATGATATAGGTTACACTTGATCTTTACATATTAATACAATTTGAATAAATAAGAGTTATGGTTCTAATTACAGACTATCGATGAAAAAAATTTGTATGACAGTTTAAAATCCAATATATTAAAATTCAACATATTTAAACGACTCCACAAATGTGTTCGATTTACACCAAGAGCAAAGAACCAAAAAACTTGAGTTTTAAGATAAACACTCAAAACCAATAAAGAAAATTACAAATTTGACATATCATAAGCTATGAAAAGACCAAAAAAGATGGGTTTTAGAATGAAATTTCAACTGCTTACCCTCTTTCTTGTCCA